GAGCGACCGAAATATGTCCAAGACCTTTTAACTGCTTAGGCTAGGGGCACCAAATCGGTCATCTAGTGCGCTCCAAAGTTCACTCTAGTGGACATTTTTCGGTCACCCTTTTTATGCAGGCGAATGAGTGTAAGTCGAATGTGTTTTCTGAGGAGAAGGAAAAGGAGGAGGAATTTCGTGAGAACCGAAAGCACAATAACAATGAGGTAGTACGGTACGGGGGAAAAATTGCCATATGTCGACTCTCGGAATTATACCATTGATGATGAATAAAGAAAAACAATTACCATAAATGGTGCACGGTCCTAAACAGCACGGCGCTGATTTAGTGAATTATAGCTTGGATGTTCAACAAAAAACCATCAGTGAACATTCATTCGTTAAAATATTTAGCATTGATAGCAGACTAACGGTAGTGTTATGTTAACAGTACCGCAGGCACCCAGAACTAGACGACAGGCAGTCCACATGGCTCATTGCAGACATCGAATTAAACAAAGCCAATCAATATATTTGAAGTGGCTTAGAATACAGGAATGATGGGGAACACGACGGTGCTATGCGGTAACTGTGTAACGGCAACTGTAGCAGTCACGTATTGCATACACTAAAGTCAGTAGCAACGCAAGTGATATCGACATTCCAGCAACAGTGAAAATGTGGCAAATTAAAAATTGGGCCACATGCAGATTTTTCCCTGGTTCTGTTCCTTACATAGAAGTCAACAAGAAACATCCGCTGTAATTGCTCATAGTTGGTTTGTGTAAACGTGTTTTCTTTTTCACTTTTGTGGTTGCGTTCATTTAAAGTAAATTCATGGAGTCTACATTTTGGCTAAACGAGGAATATTACCTCAGTTCGTCCTCTCCTTAGAGACACTCGATTTAACTTTACCAAACCACACAGAACAAAAGTACAGCTTCTAATTTAGCATCACGAAAATTTTCTAGATAAACTGATCAGCCATACATTAAAAATTAAACCGTGCTCAAAGACTCCTCGCTCATCCGGTACCCAGCGCTTAAATTAAAACGATAGATCTTATCTTCTGCGGCCCTTTTTGATACGACCACTACGTGCCCTGATGCACAACTGACACAGTTCTTAATCATGTAACTAAAAACACTCCACTCGCATCGCTATGAAACTTTTCTATGCAGGTGTTATCACTCGCATACATTGCCACGGTAGATGACTTGAATATGTGGTCTAGCTTACAACCGTTCCTACACATTTCATTTACTTGTGGCTTCAGCCACAACTGTTTTATAATTAAGCCTAATTAAATTACCACTTATATCACTTGTAAGTCGCTGAGCTTAGTGATGTACATGTCATCTTGGTATGTGGAAATTCGACAGATCTTCACGGCTCATTGTCGAAGCCCTTAAGCATGGCTGTAGTTCTGTAGATACCGTACGTGGACTAATTAACATTTTTCCAGGAATCACTGCCAGAATCTTACAATCTACTAGGACAACGGATCCAAACAGCTTCTTTACAACTGCTTTTATCCTCTCGCCTTAACCGTTGTACTGGACGTGCCTGGTGACCCATCAATGAGAGCGGATACACCCACTACACTAAACCTCTCCTAGTGATACAAAATGCATCCGTAAACCAAAGAATATGAGAGACCTGACCTAGCATTTGCACAGAAACATTCACGTAGGATTTGTGAATAATTAATTAACTCAGTAGTTCGGTAAATTGTCCGAGTGGGCGGTTTTTGCTCTCTTTACTGGACCGATCTTTATTACCTAGTAGTTAGTATACACTTTTCGCGTTATCTCCCCAATAAGCAAGCAAGTTGCGCCTTAATTAGCTCAAGTATCATAGATTTATGGAGGCTATTGGACGCAACATGATACATGTGCCACACGTTGTTGTAACTTTTCTTCTCCAGTGCTGTGGACCATTTCCCACAGGAGACCAATATTTATGTATCACTGACCGATAGGTGACCAATGTTGCAGGAGGAAGGGAAAATGACTAACCGCTATAAGCAAGCAATGATGAACAGGAAATGTGAGTGAAAAGTGAAGCAAAACATATTTTCGCAACGTTTAATAGTGAAAACATCCAACAAATTATGAGAACAAGTACTTAATGAAAACAGTTGATTTGCCTCTGTCTTACCGATTTGATTGAAGAATTAAAATTAACTGGGGCCAATTGGCAAGTCTGGCATGAATGAGGATACAAGAAAGGTATTGGGTAATACGGAGTTACGTGACAAATAGGCAACTACCATCATAAAGACGCGTGTTGCTTCGCCATTATTGGGGGACGCACGCTGAACATGCAGATGAATCAAAGAGAATAGAGATGCGATCGACCAAACCGCTTGTTCCGTGGTGAATTCCGATTACGTTGTTCTACTGAACTCGGGAACATGTCTCAGCTACAGAAGAATCTGTCCACAACACAGCGAACCCAGTTGCTGGGGAAGGGGTTAGGTAAGTGTGGGGTCGATTTTCGAAGGACATATTTGCACAACCAATGTCTCGATGTGACCTACCAGTAGCTGGGGCGCCTACAGTAAGATAAGCATGTGATCGAGAAGAATAAATGTTTTGACTCTAACGGTAATTGTCTCTCTCAGGTTAAAGGACTAATAGACGTACATTTACAGAGAAAAGTAAAAGACAAAAGGTGTAGATTATATGTGCATGTTTACCTTGATTGTTACGCACGTGGCATGAATTACAGCTGGGAGTAGATGATGTATTACTAATGAGTAGATTGAGGAGAAGGGTGACTACGGATGCAGGTCGCACAGTCAGTGCACAGCTATTGTCCACGGAAACATGGTGGATGAGGACGTGCAGCAGAGTGGATTGGTAGAGAGGCGGCATGAATGAGTCCTGCAAGTGAGCGCCGCAGTGGTATGTTTGACTGCTCGTAACACGTAGGTTCGCGATATCATTGTAATTAACCTATTATGCCGTACTGGGTTCTGGACAGGCCTGCACGACGACATGGTTATACCAGGATGGTACGAAGTTATGCAGTGCTTTTGCTCAAACTCCTGTGTTATTTCCGCGCAAGCATCAAAGGTTGGTTGGTAGAAGTAATAGACGATAACGCATGGAATCTTTTCTGAGTACTGGTCTAGAGTTTGGAATGAGAGCTATAGGGACGATTGGGGAGCCCTCATGGTTGCCACCCCACCATTGACGCATGCATTGTAATCAGCTAAGCGGAGCACCAGAGTGTAAAATGTCAACTGTCTATGTTTTCCGAATTACGCATACTGCCATCGGAATGTCAGTCTCTTCATTAAATGAGTGCGTCCATTGGCTCCTAAATGTACTTAAATCCGCTGTAAAACACTGCAATGCGAAGACATTTATTGGAACAACCAATACCAATAGAATACGTTAGGCTCGATCTCTTGAGACACGACACATCTTTTTCGCTAAATATTGGCAAGATAGCCTTCCAAGAATTTGCTTACAGTCTTCGTCAAGAGCTGCTTTCATTTTCCTCATTGTTACACACCTCCAACCGTGATCACCTTGCATTCACTTTGTGTTATACTTTTGGTACTGTTCCTAGCTGGACTTCTTCCGTTCGACTTGCCCGATTTTACCACAGCAACTTTTCTTGGCGCATCATGGACGCAAGCGACCACAACATATGCGGTTCCTCTAATGTTACGTATCTTGGTGCATATTCATCACAGTCTATGGTGGTCAACGCACATTCTGCATGTTGCAAAAATTAGCCTTTTTGTGTCATAGAACTCAGCATCTTTGCAGTACGCTAACTTTTGTTATAGAAATTAGTACCCTCCTGTATCTCTGCAAAATGGCATTATTGCTTACCTATTATTTTCCTGGTCTTCTACAGACGGACTTCTCATTGCTTGTTTGTTCCATTAAGGTCATTTGCAGATGTAGGACTGCTCAGGGTCTCTCTGGTTGACTTCGTCGTTATTAAGCAGATTGATTAAGGTGACAAATTATCATTAAATGTTTAGATGATCCATTTTACTCCCTGCGCCATGATTTACCAAAGATATTTCCTGTTTGTCTACCCGCACTTAATTCCGGGTTTTGTTTTCCCGCACAATATGTTATCATGACCCTACATTACCGTATTTATCCCTTTTACTTGGGAACCACAAAAAACCTTAGCAGCATCGCACATGAAGGCTTACTTGTGCGATGTGCATGTACATTCGAATATTTTGCTTTTTGATTGCAATAATAGGTCAATTTTATAAATCATTACATCCACTATGCTAGTGTAAAACGTTGTAAAATATCCCAGTCAGATGCATAAGACAGATTTCGACTCGGTTTGACTTACCTCGAGACCAATACTCACCACGGCTGTAATATGTTCGTGTTATCGTCCTTAATGTCTTCTGTGTTGTTAATATTTGATGTACATGGACGACCTCTGTTTTAGCGCCTAGTTTTACGAGGCAGAAATACACAACTGCGTGTAATCTTGCTTGACTTTAGAAGCCTAGCGTGCGTTGGGATAACGACTGTCGTTAGCAAATATTTGGCTTTAACATACTTCTTTTCCACATCTTCTTTCAGATGTGGCACTTTGTGATCTTTGGCTTCTAATGGACGTTGCATGCTGTACGGCATCCGTTCTACACCTGATTGCCATAGCGGTCGATTGCTACTGGGCTGCGACTCGGCTGCAATATCTCCGAATCCGAAATGAGAGGCCAATCATTTGCATGATCGCTGTTGTGTGGATCAAATCACTGGCTATTTCGTTACCAACTTGGTTTCACAGCTCAGGAAACATGTGCGATGTGTTAGTCAAAGGTCAATGCCGCATTAACGACGAATAGGGTTTTACCATTTTCTCCACACTTGGTGCATTCTAATTCCCCATGGGGTTTCTAATCGGTGCATATACAAGGATATATCATGCAGCTAGCGCGCGAATCAGAAAGCGATAGTTTCGCAATCCACATGAGCTAACACTCAAAGCAGGCGAAGAAGCGTGTGTCACAATTTTGACTCTCAATGAATCTACTGTCTTCTAAGAAAATCAGGTTGATTGTGCCTGTTGTTTTTAGATTTGCCCTACCGAGTCAGCTATATGCATATGTCAAGTTAGATACCGATTTCAACCCGTCTTCAGCCGACACACAGTATTCAGACGATTTTCCGGAAGCTTGGACCGAAACTGATGATTGGAGTCTCAATCCCACTGGTGAATTGGAAATTGCTGGTAACATACTAAACTGTGCAGATTCTACGAATCAGCTTCGTTGTTTCCTAGTGAATTATGACAAGGCTTCCTCACATTCCGCAATAAACGAGAGCAACTTCACTGGCAAAAGTGTTTCCCCATCGTCTCAATCGGGTGTTCCTTTGTGCGTTTCATGCTCTAGTGTGCTTTAAAACACATAAGCGAGTACTCCGAATGCTGTCGGCACAATAATGTCACTGACCAACTGAATGAAAGAGAACATGGGAGAAAAAATGATTTACTCAGGCGTTCGCTTGGAGCTTCAACATGTCCACAATCTATACCTGAAACAGGTGTGAAAAGTCGTCGTGTAAATAGGCACTTTTTAAGTTCCACCGATTTTATGGTCTACTCAAATACTAATGCAAGGGAACTCTCAGCGACATCCAATGTGTATTCTATCCCGAGTCCGTTTATAACCGAATCTGATAAAAATCGGTTGAATGTGTGGAACAAGTCTAGGGTAGATTCAGCTACGCCAGTGTTTGTTGAACACCTGGACTTGCTTACAGCCAGCATACAGATCAAACCACTGCCCGAATCTCCTTACCTGCCACCCAGTACGAGCAGCTTGAGTACACAGTGGAGTGGTTGTAGTCTCTATCGCAGTAACCCGTCCGCTGGTACCTCACAAAACTATCCAGTCAAAGGAATCGTTAACGTATCCAGGGTCAGTTGACCTTCCGACATTGAAGATAGTGCCAGATCATACACCTCCTCCACAACACATCATATCAGATATTTCATGCGACACAAAGTTAATCAAACAAGATCATCTTACAACATTCAGGCTAAAGGTCACAAGCATAGTGACGGTGTTATGTAATAACAACGTTGTTCCGCGGAGTGCACAAGCACACCGAGAACAGTGTGCAAAACAAATGTCGCCGAAAATCGAGTCCCATTCAATACTTTCTCGATTTTTTGAACGTCACGTGACGTATGGTAAACTGCTCACGCAGCCTAATACCATTCAAGAGATGAAGGACAGCAAGGAACGTATGGAAAAGTGTCGCGGAAACAAGGCGGTTCGCACACTGGCCATCAACACTGGTAGCTTCATCTTGTGGCTGGCTTCCGTTTTTTGTCAAGACACTCGCTGTTCCATTCTGTGCACCAATCTGTTCTGTTCCCTCTGTGGTGGATAGTCTGTTTCTCTGTTTGGGCTACCAGAACTCCCTGCTCAATCCGGTATTGTACACAGGATTTCCCCGGAGTTTAGAATGTCTTCAAACCGATTATTTGTCGATTTGTGGCGCGTAGGCTTGTTTGTTAATAAGTGAAACATTGGTTGAAGTTCAATGCGTTTGGTTTTGTACACCTTTACTGGCTGTTCTGTCCCCATTGTGGGAAGCGATGTACGCAGTGGTGCCTAAAGAGAAAACGTATTAGCTGCTCTACTGAAAAAAATGTGGTGGTAATCTATCCAGGGATTCTGCCCGAATGGAAAGGAATAGGCAGTCTACTATGGTGCTGCTCAAACACCTCCATGTTACCGTTTAAAGATAGATAACGCGATTTGGTTTGCGTCACGAGTTCGGTTATAGCGACCACACAAGCCATAAAATTATCTAATGCGGGATTCATTTCAAACTTACACGGGGTAACTCACTGCGTTCTTGAACTCGGCGTGCAAACTTGTTCGATAGTAAGTACATTTTATGCAGGTAAATTTTACGGAGTGAACTTAAGACAGATTCAGCATTGTAGTCAGTAAAATTAAACCCAATACCTCTGACATGTGTGCAACGGGTAAAACCTTGTAACATGGTGATATGATTGTTATGCGGCAATTGGGATGACCTGGGATTTATACATATTCAGGCAGTTTCTTTATGTAGTGGCTGGATAATAGTGAAAGCATCCATTAGGCGTAATTGTAGGAGCGAATATTAAGGAACCTACTGTAAACGATTTAAATTCAACTGAGCAGTATAAAGTCATTCTTGAAAGTCAACTCGATCTAGATCTTTTTATTGGCTGCCGTATGCACCAAATCCTTCCAGCCTCAAGGTTGGCTGTGTTTCGCTATAAATCTGTGTGGGTAACCATTCATCATCAGTGTAGTTGTACTTAATGCTAGCTTGTTGACAAGACAGTTTGCAAAGTGAATTCGTCTAACGCGATTAGCTGTGTCCGTTTACACGGCACTGGTATGAAGCTGGTAAAGTGAAGGTGTTGGGCGAAGCAAGTTGCTTTTTTGCAGACGGTAATCTTAATTAGTGCGTCATCCCTGCGCTTGATAAGGATGTCAGAGAATGGCAGACAGTTGTTTCGTTCCAAATGAAAAGTACCGGCTAAGTCTCCAAGGATCGCAAGCCTGTTTTTTAATCCGTGACGAGGTGCTTGTGTTTGTGTAGGGAATGGGCGAACCTCACAGTATCCTTAGCCAAAGGGTGATTAGTGATGGCTGCGCAAGGACGAAGCGTGGCTATTGCGTACCGTAGAACTGCTGACGTCTGGTCTTCCACTTGGCCGAAGACCAGGATTAGCGTCGCTTAAACGTTGATGCGTTACAAAAGCATAACGCTAGACACTAAGATAAATGATAATATTGTGCAGATGATAATGATACGTACAAGCGAGAGAGACTTATCTCGTGTACTTCTTTGATGGCTGTGAGTCCAATACAGATTGCTTTGCGGGTGCGACGATGACTGCGTCGGGCCTTGCACACGTGAACAGTAGCGTACATGTCCATTGTCTGGCTGTTCCAGTTGTGTTGTGTGTGCCTTGATGCGGTACAGGTTTATAGGAGTGGATGCGAGGTAAATTGCAAACTAAATTATGCGTATCACGTGATTTGATTCGCCTGCGTGGTTATTGGTTAGAGGTCAGGTCATGTCAAATCAAGGTCTAAGGAAGACACAGCCTTCCACCTAACGAGCGTCCAGCTTTTGTAACGGTAAGCAAACCAAAGGTACTTCGCATTTTAACCACCTCTCCTTGCTTCTGCTAAAAGAAATCAAGCAAGAAAAATAGCGATTCTTGCATTTGCGTGTATCTAGGAACAATGCTAATATATTTGGATAAGGTTACCCTTATTCCGACAAATGATGCGATTATCACTTATCCAAACTTGCTTTGAAGGCTGCTACAGTTGCGCAGCCGAGTAACTCAGAAGATAACTAATTACAGCTGTGAACCACGCGGTTTGTGAAAATGTTGGCCCCGACGTGTAATTTAGCCCCTGTTGATTGCGCTTCCAACGATACGCACACCAGTGATCAGAAGTAGCTAACTCACACTGATGGGTGGGCTTGATGTCACTGAGACCTTTCATGACCTTAAAAGTTTCCATTAGAAGGCCTCTCAGTCCAAGCCGCTCCAGGGAAAACAACCCTATGCTCTTTAAGCGATCTTCATGCAACATTTTGTGTTGGCCTTTAAACATCTTGGTTGCCAATTTTTTCATATTTTTCATGCAAACAACATCACGACAGAGATAAGGCGACCAAGCCTGAACACATTACCAGGTGTGGCCTTGCCACTACTTTGTACAATGGCAGAAAATACTCTGGCTTGGTGTTACACAGTGCTCTCCTGAAGCAAACCAGTTCTCATCGCGCTTTGTTAGCAGCATATCGACATTGCGTCGAAAGCTTAAACTTGCTCTTCATAAGGTCTCCTAAATCGCGTACCTGGTTAGTGCACTGTAAATAGAAAGCTCCAGAGAAAATTTGCACCACAATCCCTTCTCTACTAGTGGTCAGTAGTTGTCATTTACTGGCATTTAAATGGAAATCCCATTGTCTCGACCAGTTAATCCCTTGATGATCGATTTGGTCAGTGTTGCTCGGTTGCCCCTGCTGACCAGCTTTAAATCGTCTGCAAAACTAAATCAGTGGGCTTCAAGAAAGTGGTCCAAGTCGTTTATAAACATGAGAAACAGTGGTGCAGTTCGCAGCAATGCTTGGGAACGCCACTGTAGGCGATGCCTATACGAGAATTCGCATCCCCGATACTAACTCGTAATGTTCTCTCACGTATGACTTCCGACAATCAAGATAGATGTTTGGAAAGTCGAACAAACCATGTCAATTTCTCAAGTAAGAAACGGTGACTTACCAAGTCGAAAGCCTTAATAAAGTCGAGATAGAACACATCCAGCGGAATCCCGTCATCAAGACATCGAGTAATCTCATCTAGAAAGCACTGCAGGTTAATGAGGCACTTCCTGTTAATGCAACCATGCTGTTTCGCTCTAATTAGGATATGTCCCGCCAAGTGCTCACAAATCCGGTTTCATCTAAGCTTTGCTAAGTACTTGCGAATGACACAAGTTAGACGGACATGTCCATAGTTAAGAGGCTCCGATTTGCATCCCCCTTGTGGATCGCGACTATGGTTGTCTCCTTCCAGTCTCCTAATAACACCTTTTTGAAGCAACAAGTTGAATATTTCCATAACAAGATGCTGAAGAACGTCAGCCAGTGGCTTGACTATTGCTGGATGCACATTATCAAGACCGGCTGAGTTGAAGGAGTTCAAGTTAGCCACCACGGTGAAGTCCATGCCTTGCATTGTATGACAGCTTACAGTGTGGCTGCGATGGTGCCGCACATCCACTGCCTCTCCTAGGAGGATTCTGGAAGACCCGTAGCAGCATTTCCGCTGCTTTTACGTCGGCTCTGATCACGTGGTGTCCCTCACGTGGTGTGAGGTTAGACTTTGCCATTTAGGTCAAATGAAAAGTACAGTTCCACAAACATGAATGTTATGCGAAAGTGGTAAACGGACCCAACAATACGCTCTTCCTAGTGCTAGTGAGGGCACATCTTGGCGAGGATAAGAGAATAAGGGTTATATCTCTGGTTTCAGTGGGTGGCAAATCGGTCAGGCCGATGCACAAGTCTCCCAGATCGAGTGACAAGCGTTGTTTCTTCGGTGGAAGTCTCAGTTTGGCAGGTAATTGTTATAGACGTCGGTGGCTTTTTATTTTTGTAGGTTTGCGTGCTATCTGCTGGTGTGGATTCCAAAAAATCTGTATAAGCAGGTCTCGAGCGGCAGGGCTAACAGTGTCCGTTCTATTGTGTAGCCGAACTGAAGTGCTTAGCATGACGTGTAAAAACGAGAAAAATACCCTCATACAGTGCTTGTAAAGACTGTGTTAACAAACTCGTTGAGAACGAATACACTGAATATTGCTCAA